CATGCCGCCTCAAATCCCTAATCACGATGATGGGTACTCCGTGTACTCAACCCAAGATCATTACTCAAAGACTCTCTTACCCCCCTCCCCTAGCCCTGACGACTAACACCCGCCGACCTTCTCATGCGGGCGGCGTGGGGATGATGAGTGTTAGTGACTTAATAGCCCTTGAGGCATCTATAAACACTGTTGATTTTGTACATTTTCATTCGTTTCATGTAATTGTATTGGCCTGAGGAAGAATTACCGAAAACGTGCGTTCGCCAACTTGACTTTTCAATTTTAACATGGGAATATTTGCGGAACTTAGGCAGTCTAAATTGTCGCAATATTTTTAAATAATTGGGCAAAAGTTTTCCACAATTTGTTGCCGTGCCTAACAAGAACTATTCTAGATTTCACTGTACCGAATGTGTGCAGACCAGGTGCTGCATATTCCACTGTCCCACACTTCCCCAAAAAAGACTTTAAAATTTGAGAAAACAGTCTAAGGATTCAGCCCTAAATTCATTGTAGGTTCACTTAAGAACCAAGTAGATATTTGAGTTATTTCCAACAATGTGGCTTGTGCGAGATAAAGGAGCGTAGTCTTTGGTTTTACGCGATACAAATCCTTCCAGACCTGCTGCCAAGGCCTTCCGTCTCATATAGTCTGCCAAGTCCTATCAAGCTACTCCGCGTCTACGCAGTTGCAGCAATACTTTCATAACAGAGGAGTCAGGCACGGCAGAATTGCTTAATCCATCCTTTGACAAGCATTTTACCTTTGAAACTGACTCCATCCTCTCAGTTGAATAGCCGCCTAATATCTTCCTCATCACCTTTTATTCTGCTCCTGCGGGTATTCAGAAACAGATTAGCTGGCTCAGTAACTTGCATACTGTTGGAACTGACAGCATCCTGACTCACTTATTATACTGTTCAAAGATTTCTCTCCCCTGATGGGAAAATTATTCTGTCTTTCCCGAGAATGGTTTCCTTCTCTACCTTTGCAAATTTTTATTAGTGTTTGAGAATTTAAATCGGACTCTCGCTCTGGTGTTCAAAAACATCGTAGTTTTAATAGAATATAATAGGTTTGTTATAGCGCCTATTGGGCGCTGTCAGCCTTCCATTATTAAACTGCTGAAAAAATACTGAAATCGAAATTACGAATTTTTGCCTAGTTAATCAACTTCCTAGCTCTTCTCAAAACGGCTTTTTCCTTGTCTCTCCTGTGAAACGCGTCATATGCACTTTTGAATCTATTGACATACTTCGCAAATATATCTGTCTATGATCGTAATCTACTTTGATCTTAGCAAGCAAGTGCCACAAAGGCGACCCTTAGGTAACTTGGAGCTCCAGGAATTCGCAGAATGCTTATTGGCTTTATCAAATCATGTTTGTCTATTTGGAAACAGACGGTCTTGGTGAGTTCCAAGGTACCGCGTTAAGTCCAATTTTGTTCTTGCCTTAGATCAAGGGTATTTCATGGCAGTTAAGCAATGTAAAAAGCATTTTTATGCTGATAAGCACAAATATTCAAATCATTTTTCAACTTATACGGCAAAATATTGTATGGTACAAGACAATGTCCACTTGACGACCCTTCTGAATGATGTTAAAAATGGCTATCAGGACTCTCTAATTATCAATGTCGCTACATGGGATTGGCATAAGAAAGAATGTTCCAACAGCGGTAAATAAAAAATGATAATCATAACACTAATAATAGTAATAAATTAATTTAATTACAGCTCACAGGCATTGTCCAATAACGACTCCATACGAATCGAGTTAGCAATGAATAGAAACTTCTGATGAAGTGAGTGTAGGTGTTACTGTTGGCGTTGTGATCCAAAACCGATCAAGGGTAAATGTGGTGGATCAACACGGGGGCCATATCGGATTCTGGCAGGCGTCATCGGATTTACGCACCACAACAAAAGCCAAACAAATGAAGACAAAGTGCAGTCGAAATGGATGAGTTTGTTTTAAATTTTTTCCCCTATTCAGGCGAGACTGACAGAGTACAAGGGGCGCTATAATAAGCCCATTATATTCTATATTTTGGGGTGCAGGGGCAGGTCCGGTTGCCGGCCGACCCCGCGCCCACTGGGGCGCCTGCCGCCCCCATTATTGCTGTTGTTGGTAAAAAAAACTGGCCATTTTCTGTATGGGGAGTAGAGGGCCAAGGTACGGGCTTGTGCGTACAATCCACCCACGTTATCCCCGTCTCCGGTCTTTTTGACTCTGCCGTGACACCGGCTCCAGATGGGGGAGGACCAAAGAGTGCGGAAGGTAAAGTACACGTCTAGTATCACTTTAAACTAATTCATGCACAAGTCATCATCCTTACTCTCGCATTGCTGTGAGGCACACGGTAAATATCGTTGGTGACGACGATCTAACTGCCGGTGGTGTATTTCTGGATAGTCTGAGCGGTTACGGAGGAAAAAAACCACAACCCGTGAGATGGCGCCAGTCCAGAATGGGAGTGGCTAACTGTGCATCAGTCGTTTTCAGTCTATTCCCCTACATGGAATCGAATCTGCATCAAACAGGATGCATGAGTAAGCACTTGCTCACTGTTGGTTGGAGAAATTGTCCGCAGTCTTGTGAGCTGCAGGGTTAGTCCCATTTCCCACAAAATGCGACCGGGCATAGAGATCAGACACCATGAATTCAATCATTACGGATGATTAATTCAGTAGATTCAGAACTCAACAGTTGTGGGATTTTTCTGAATGCTGAATACGGGCGAACGTTCTCTTAGACAAAGACTAATCTTGCAGAATGTTCATGTTCCTGGTCAACTTATTCCAGATTGCAATTGTTTTCATAGGACAGAACTGACGATCTTCAACTGTACGTGACGAAGAAGAAATTAGAAGACATCGAAGCGACTGTTGCGTCGAGGTGATCAAGATGCTTTAAGGTAGTAGACGAATTAGAAGTATGAATTTAAGAGCTTGGACAGTAAAATAGTCCCTTTTCTAATCCGCTCGATGAAAGTTTCGTGTCATTTAACAAGCAGTTTTCGGCAAATGGCCAGATTCAGCTTAGGGCTCTGATGTGAATGCATATGCTACCATCAATCACTGAGGTTTAGGCCACCCGATCGACTTAGATCTTACCGCTCGCCTCGCTAGGATTGCGGCCAGAAATGCCCAGCTTTATGGTTTTTTCCGATATTCCCTACCCTAGTGAAACTAGATTAGCACTTTATCGAACGTCTACCCTTCCCATCCCTTAATGTTGATGCCAAAACCTCGGTTTAGTCAATAAGGCTAGCCGTCCTATAATTCCAAATATTCAAATCGTGCTTAGAGATTTCTTGAAGATAAACAGCTAGCCGAAAATGTCCATCTGCTGCAAACCGCTCGCAAAATGTCACGAAACTTTTCTCGAGCAGTAAGAACTGATACAAAAACGCAGCAGTCCAGCGTTTAGGACGTTCTAAGAAATCTTATGGTAAGCGCCAAGTTGACCGCTGGTGATTTCGTTGCCTTCTTGCCTTAAACATATTTTAAAATTCCGTCGTCCCGTTTTCGAACGTCCAGGCTCCGAGCGGTGACCTTCTCGAAACCATAACTTTCACCCTGTGGGATGTGACCGTAGCGGCTTGATGTCTTCACCAATCTCATAGCTCCGGATATAGTTGCGTCCTGGCCAACACTTTAAAGGCAAACACAAGAGAGAGTTTGCCGTGCTTCCCGTTTAAGATATTTCATCTCGCTCCCGAAAAAGACCCTTTATGCATAAAAATGTTTTGAAAGTTGCATATCAATATAAGCCGGCAGATCGCAACATCGTGCCCGAACTCCTAAACAACGATCTACAGACCTTTGCATAGTGGTGCTCTACACAACGCCCTTCGCTTTTTGGCCCAAACGCTCAATTATGGTGGTTAGCGACGATCATGGGCCTCAACTACGTGTTAACGGTCACGACATAAATAAGCCTGAAGTTATTGAGGACCTAGATGTGTCATGTTCAAGAGTCTGACTTTTCCGGAACACTGTGCCCTGTTTGCCATCAAAACAAGCAGAACGACCGGGCTTATCCTCCAACATGTTAAAATTGACAATGTTAGAATGCGCCTTGTAAAATGTACGCCAGACGTCACCTGGAATGCTGTTCGTTTTTATTTAGCCTCTAGCGCGCTGCGGAGCGGAAGAACACATCCATCCTGCGTTTTTTAAAAAGGAGTTTTAACGTCGGGACGCAAAAATTTGACGTAACATGAAATTCGTGGGCTTGCATGCCTTGATCCCTTGTGGATCCGCAGATTAAGAAAAGGGACTATTTTACTGTCCAAGCTCTTAAATTCATACTTCTAATTCGTCTA